GTTTTAGTAATGGAACTTGACCCGTAGACAAGAGTGCTTTGAAAAGCTAACCCAGGTCCACAGACTGGTGAAAATTAAGAAGCCCAAGGTCACATACTGGCCTATACTACCTCAGAGCCAGAAAGCTGTTTTAAGGTAGGGCTGAGATTGCCACCCAAATTCTGCACCTCTAGGGGCCCGATTCTCCTAAAAGCGGTAGAAAAGCAACTCAAGGCGAGCCCCTTGCCCTTCCAGAGCCTGGCGGTGTGTCCCAGAAGTGCAGTAACCAGCTATAAAGCAAGCAAAGGACATGGCGGGACAGTGGTGAGGTGGTGGCAGGTCGGCCACCAACGACCAGGATTTATGGAGTGCCTGGGATGTGTCAGATGCCAGCCAGCCTTCTGTGCCCAATGCAGCCCTGGCGTCTGGTTTCCTGAAGGGGCTGTCAGTGTCACTCTGACTCATGTGACCGATGAAGGACAACCCAGGATCAGCCACCACGGAGTCCTGGAACGCAACCTGTCTCTCTGCTCAAAAGGATCGTTTGATGGCACACAAGTCTTCTGGGTGGGAGGCATTGCAGCAAGGTCCCTAAGCGTGAGGTGGGCAGCAGCAGACAGATTTGCTGCCCTGAGACAGAGCAAACCCACAGTGTCCTAGCGACACTGAGCACGGCGCTGGCCAGGCAGCCAGGGGCTACGGTGTGTGTATCCAGCAGGTTCAGATCTGCACAGAAAGGTGGGCAGCGCCTGACACTTAGGAGGCGCTCTGCAAAGACCAGTGGTGGATGGCACGGTGACAACGTCCCCAAACCCACCCTCACTTACCCAAGGAACGTCCTTGCCTGGTGCTTACGCTGCTCTTCTCAGCCCACCCCAACCACTACTCTTCCCCACGTGCTGAGAAAGTGACTCAGCAATTTTTGTTTCCCCAGAAAGTCCGGGTGAGCCGGTGGTAGTAACGGCGAGCACAGCTATAGCCGTGACAGTGGACAAGAAGACGGCCATGGCTGCAGGTAGGAGCCGCCCTTTGTGCCGTTGAGGCCGGGAAGGTGTGAGTCAACGTCAGGCAGAACAGGAGGAATAGCACGCAGGAATAACAGGAGGACCCCTGCTTGTGGTCCTTCAAGGGCCGCAGTCCTCCAGCTGTACGTTTTCCCAGGTGAAATGTGGGACCAAGGAGGAGTGGAGTCTTCCCAAGCCATTGTGTTTAGAAAACTATAAAACCTTAGAACTAAAAGAATTTATAAAGAGAGTAAAATGAAGCCCAGAGAGGTTAAGAGAGCTGTTCAAGGTCACACAGGACAGAGACTACAGCCCAGTCCTCCTTTCCATTCCTCTGCGTGCTGCTTCCCTCTTCCGTCGCCGTGGGTCTAATACCCCACTGAAGGGAGAACGGAGCTTGTGACTTAAACCCTACGGTGAGAGCTCGATGTGTGTGTTCAGTCCGTGCCAGGCGCCTCGGGAACTGCCTCCCGTGCACATCCTCATCTAGCCCTCGGGGTGATCTGATGAAGCCGATACTTTTGGCTCCATTTTACAGATGAGGAAACTGAGACACAGAAAAGTTATTTGACCAAAGTAATAATTAATGAGGCTAGAATTTGAACTCAGATCACGTATCTTTGAGGCCCAGGTTCACTACCCTGTGTTGCAATTTGCCTCAAATGTGATGAGAGCATCCAATGACCCTCACAAGCTGTCCCTGACTTTGTAGTTTCTTGGTGCCTAAAAACGTCCTTGGCGTCTGTCTCGTGGTCTGAGAGCTGTCCGGCCTGTGTGATGAAGCCCTCCTTACCTGGTCTCAGCTTCCGTGTCTCAGACCCAGCTATGTCCTGAAAAGTTGCCTAAGTCAGTGGGCACTCAGGCATCAGCCATCAGCCATCATGGATCCTTGACTCAGGCCCCTGTCTTGCTTTCCCGGGGGACCCTGGCCAGGTAGAAGGACACCTGCAGCTGGAGTGGGGCAGGGCAGGCATGACCAGTGTTTCCCCCCTGCCAGGCTGAATTCAGGGCAAACGGGATGGAAGCAGCAGGCTGCGGTCAGGCAGCAATTGTCCGACTCGTCTTCTTGCCACAAGGAGGGCCCAGGGCCGCCCTGAGTGGGGCTCCTGGGCTTCTTTCCACCCTGGGATAAGAGACGGGGAGAGAATGCCTCTGTCTAACGTTGCTCAACACCTTCGTTAGGAAACGCTTGCACCCCTGGCAGCCTGCAGGACGCACGCTGCAGCATTGGAAGGGACCCGTGCCTTCTCAGCCGTCTTTTTCTCTCAGCCCACTAATTCCAGACCCATTTCTAGGCCAAAATTTGACCCCAAACTTGTCTTCGTAAAGACTGTTCTGTGGTCCCAGCTGAGTCTGTGCTGTGCTGCCCCCTCCATGATGTGGGGCTTCTCAGCTCCCACACACCTGGAAGTCTAGGAAAGAGAAGGGCCCCGGGGTCAGGCTGCCAGCTGCGCTCTCCTGCAGTCTCCAATGATTTGATATCATTTTTAACTCAGAGCTGAATTGGAGCCGTGAGGGGTTGCCATAGAAACTGTGTCCTTGTGCCTCTGGTTTAACTCACTGCACACAACCACTCTGACACTCTGGGGCACATGGATGTGACAGGAAATGGATGAGCCACTGGAGACTTCAGACTTCAGGGGTTTTTTCCGGTCTCCTTTGTAATTTCCTCTCCCTGGCCTGTGGCTCAGCCTCCCTGATCCTGGGGCAGCAGGTGCCTGTGGCTCAAGGTGGGGTAGGCAGCTTGTTTGCTGTGCTGGCAGTTTCATCCCTTGGACAGTGGTGGCACTGTGCGCGTGTGTGCTCCAGGACCAGGTGAGCACGGTGTCTGGCGGGTGGGCTGCATATGTGCTCTGTGCACTGAGCAAGGGGAGAAGGTGGGAGAAAGGCACTCGGACCAGCTAGAGGAGTAGCTCCATGCCAGGCGGGTGTGTGTCTAATGCCCCAGGTTCATACGGAAGGGCAGATGAAAGAGGAGGGATCATTTTAATCTCTAAGCAGGTGACTTATCAACAGTTTATGCAACATTTCTAGAAATCTTTTTGATCAGGATCCATTTTCAATTCTCCATGGCCTCCAGGCTGTAGTTGGGGAATGTTGCTGAACATAATGACCGTGGCGCTGTATTCTGCAAGTGTGTTTCTCTAGCACACGTCCTGCAGTACGCACGTGCCCCTGTCCGGAGGCCTTTGTGCGGCGGGCCTGCTGTCTGGAGCTGCATGAGGGCTGCTCTCCTTCGAGTTCTGCTTCCGTGCAAATGGTCCAGCCGCCAGACCTCCGCGTGCGCACTCCTCATGGAGGGAGACTTGAATAGCCCCTCTGTGCGTGACCCTGACCTGTGCCAGGCTGGAGAGGGGCCCACCCTCTGCTTCTGTGGTGGGGCTCAGGGAAGACTGGTCTCTCAGGTCTGCTATCAGTCTTGGGGCTACAGGAGGGCAGCGCCCCACAATTGTCACCACCTAGGAAAGGTGAACAGCTCAGTTCTGCCGGGAATCCAGCTGAACTCCAGGAATGGGGACCCTGATGGTTCAGGTTTCCCTGGGGTTTGCCTGGCTCACTGGGGTGTCATCGAAAGGGAGGCTCCTGGGAAGGAGAAAATTCCTTCTTTGTCTCTGGAGACTAATAAACCATACAGTCCAGGCCCGGTCAGCCAGAGGCCAGTCCTGGCCTGGGGGTGGGTCCCTTGGGCGTGGGGTGGACAAACAGCCCCAGAGGCCTTGCTCTCCCGCTCATCTCCTCTCCTGGTCCCCTCCATCCCAGCCCTCCAGTCCATAATTCTGATTCCCCACCTACTGAGCCCTGTGAGGGTTCATATTTATAAGCCCAGCGTGCCGTCTGCTTGTTCCTCAAGTCAGTCTTGAAAGTGCAAGATGGTAATAGGTTAACCAGGGCTCCACCTTCATGTCAGCAAACCCCACCAACCTCACCGAGGCTGATGAAAGCTAGCTGGCAGAGAAGTCCCCTAAACTGCTCTTAGGGACCCCTCCCCCAGCTCCCATTACACAGTGGGGTCCTCTGGGCAAATGCGTGCCTGCCTGCCACACGGGCCTGTCTGTCCTTGACTGCCAGGGTGGACTCCCTCAATTCAGTGTGAATGAGCACCCAAGGGCGCAGAGCAGAGACAGGTCTCCAGCTTCCCTTCTGCACTCGTGAGCCAAGCTGCTCCCAGTGAAAGCAGCCTGAGGCTCCCATATCTGTACTGTCAGGCCAGCACGTGGGTGAACTTGCTGCAGCTACAGAACTGTGCTAATCCAGAACTCCGCCCTCCACTTCTCTCCTGGGGGCGCCCCGAGGCAAGGCCTCGGGCAGGAGTTCCTTATCTGTCTTGTGGAGCTCTGGGCACTGAGGTGACGTCCAGCAGCACTTCGTGCAGCTCACTGGGGCGGTGAGGCGGCAGGAAGCCACTCTCCCAGCACCCACATCCCCTCCCCACCCAAGGAAACCAGAAAGTACATAGGAAAATACAGTCTTTATTGGTCTTCTGAAACAACAAACCAGAAATATAATTTTGCCTTTAAAAATCTTCTGTCTCAGGCTGAAGATACCACCGTTGACAACACCCACCCCTCTCCTCATTCCCCTTAGAAAATCCCTAGACCTGGTATCAGCCAGCAAGCCAAAAGAAGGAAGACTGTGCCCCCGCCTTGGGGAGAAGCGTCTAGCAGCCTGATAAGCAGCCCGTGCTGGGGCCCCTTCTGTCCTCCCTGTCCCACCGCGCCTCTCCCCCACGTGCTCCTCTGTGAGGTGGAAGGGTCAAGGGGTGCAAGGCGAGCTGGGCCTGCCCTGTCCTTCCTTAGACCCTTGGCCTCAGTGTTCTGGCAGCCTCTTCCTGGGGCCCCTAAGACCCCCGTCTCAGAGCCAGAAACCAGCCTGATGCCTCTTGCCCCCCTGTAAGCTGTGGGCACACCGGTGTCCAGCAGAGGAAAACCTAGTACTCACCCAAGATCAGATCACGAGGAAGGCAGACCCAGAGAAGGAGACCCAGAAGCCCTGCACAGCCTCTTCTCACCTGCCGCCCCCCACAGCCCTGCAAGCAGGTGCTCTGTCCCTTTGGTGTAGGTTACAGGTAAAGAACACACAGGACCCTGGCCCATGCTCTGGTTTGGACCCCAGTCCAGGTGCAATTAGAAACCCTGGGAAGCCAGACTGAGCAGACAAAACCCTAGGAAAGGGCCCCCCATCCCTCAGAAGCCTCTGAGTAAGTGCAGCAGTCCTTTCCCTGCTCCTGGGGTCTGTTTGGGATATGTTGGCAGACAGTGAGCTTCAGCAAGTGCCACCTGCTTTCCCAAGATGCCACCTATCACAGAGCATGAGTGAGTCCCCGCCCCAGGGTCACAGGCCCGGAGATGCTGAAGATGGAGGGGTGAGAGGTGCAGAGCAACGGTTCTTGGGCTGCAGGCTATAGGAGTGAAATTGGTGGTTGTCCCCGAGGGCCTGGCAGTGACAGTGTCCTCTGGCAGCACAGAGGAAACGCCCAGTGGTCGGTGGCTGGGTTCTCGAGAGGGTGCCATCCGCACATGCTGCAGCTTCAAGGCCTCAGGCTGTGTCCCTGGAAAACCCAGCAGGATAGACGTGAGAGGTTACCATGGTGACGGGCAGGCTCATTCCTCAGCACCACTGTGGCCCACTTAGAGGATCTCCAAGGAATCCTTGTGTTGTGGGTTTGAGTTTCTCCCCCTGCTGACTTGAGAAGGTTGCAGTAAGCAAGCAAAAGGCTCTGCAGTCTGAGGGCTAGAATCCAAGGGGGAAACCTGTCCCTGCTCCCCAGTGCTCATGACCTTGTCTCCCTGTGACTCTGTGTGTGTGTGTGTGTGATTTTTTTCAATCACCATGACTGCGCTGGCAATGCTCTGAGTCTGTGTGAGAGTGAATTAGTAAGTCTAGGAGCAGTGTGGCCTGTAGCAGATATGGGGACAGAACGGCTTCAGCCTAGGCAGTGCGTTCTAATCACAGTGCTGTGTTTCTAAGTGCCGGGTGCAGATACCTGGGTTGGTGTGATTGCACATTACTACCAGCAGGTGAAAGCTGGACACAACTTTCACACTGAAGAGTGGTTAAAAATATCTTCTTGGCTCAGCAGAGAGTCACCAAAATCAACCCCTGGCCCCCATGTCACTCGCTCCCCACCCTCTAAATGCAGATGAGGTAGGGTTGAGCAAGAGATCTGGAGAGTCCCCCAGCTGGACTACACCCAGGGCAGGAAGGCAGCAGGGCAATGCACAGTGCAGAAGCCTCTGCTTGCACACACACCCTTTCTTCCCTACGGCCAGGAGCTTAGGGAGAACCACCAGGTATTCCAAATCTTTGGTGGCCCAGAGGGGAGCATCAGCAGGAGCCTTCAGCACAATGGCAGCTTCTGCAGAGACTTGGAAGTTCATGGAGTCAGCCACACTGTGGCTTGCTTTCTGCAGGGCTGGGGAGGAAAGTGGAAGTTGGGGCTGTAATGGGGGAAGGGCCAGCAATCCCTGTTGTGGTCTCCCCGCCCTTCCTACCTGGGCCAGGCGGGGCTGGGCTCTCACGCCACAGAAGAGATCTGCTTCTGGTCTTCGTGCTCGCCCTCCGGGTCCCCCATTAGGGGCTGGCGCTTTTTGAGCTCCCTGTGGTACTTGGCCATGAGAGAGGCGTAGATGCAGCCATAGGCGGCAGCCACCACCATCATGATGCAGACGATGCCGCAGACGACCCCCGCGATGATTACTGTACCGATGGCCCGCCGCACACTTGCTGGCCGGTACCTCTGCTTCTGGGGGCAGGCTGTGCTGGGCTCTGGCTCTGGCTCGGCCCCTGGCTTGGGCTTAGCAGGTTCTGGGCTGGCCTTGGTGCAGGGTGGCCCAGGAATATCCAGCCCAGCTGAGATGTTCTCCTCCTCCAACTGGGAGCAGTAGTTGAACATCTCCATGGGGACCACACGCATGTCTTTCCCCCTCAGCTCCTTGGGTAGGGTGCAGGCAAGCTGGTCCAGGCGCCCCCCTACATCCAGGGGAGAAAAAAAGGAGGGGCTGACCAGGCATCCAGAACCTGGACTCCCTCTCCCCATCCCCAGGTCCCTGAAGCAGGAGGCCCAGAAGGTCTAGTTTCTATCAGCAATGCAGTCAGTCCTGGAATCACATCGATAGGAGAGCAAGGGAGGAGGGAAACTAGCATTTATTGAGCCAAGTACCCTGGTAGGTGAGGTGCATATCTCACATCATTTAATCCATGCAGAAGCCACGTAAGATGGATATTGTCGTCATCCCATTTTATAGAGAAGCACACAACCATTTCAGTCAAGCCTGCTCTCTCCAGAGTCAAACTGAGCCGCAGGAGGGAGACAGTGCTGACATGTGGAGGTGCTGAGGAATGAGTTGTCAGTGTAGAGAGAGCCAAGAGCCCAGCCCAGACTACAGCTCCGCTCCTCTCCTTGCCCCTGAAATCTGCCTGCCCCCACCTGTGTAAACGCAGGGCACTGTTCTCAACACAGTATCTCAACCCTCCAGGGTTCTCACAAAAAGAACAAAAATCAAATCTACTGCACAGCCACCACTCCTCCATGCAGGGCCTTTTGGTTGCCTAAGAGTACCTCCTGAGAGTAGGGAGAAAAAGGTTGGGTGAGAAGGTTTTCTTTTCCTCTCTAAGAGCAATCCAGTGGCCCCATCAGTGCCCCAACCACAGCCTCGCTCAGTGCAGAGACATTTTGGAAGGGAATCCTGAAGACCTGTGAGGGCAAAGGAGAGGGGGCCGGCGCTAAGAGGGGGTGTGGACAGTGAGGTACACAGGCTCACCATGGCGATGGTGAAGGTGGGCTCGATCGTGGGGGGGATGTAGATGCAGAACATGGGTGGGTAAGAGAGAGGGCAGCTAAGGAGAATAAGCTGCCTGGACATCCCCTGGGAAGTCACAGTCAGATGTTGGCCCTCTTTCAGCTTCCAGTGACATCTAGATGCAGGCAACAGACCCGCTGCTGAATGGACTCAGCTCGCGCCACTCCATCACTGCCAGTTCCCTCTCCCAGCCCAGCTGCTGCAAGTCTTCTCATACAATAGACATCAGTCTTTTCCTGGGATGCTGATGAAAACATCCCAGGATTTTTTTTTTTTTTTGAAGGAGTGCAAGGTTGAAAACAACTCAACTATTGAAAAGTTCCAAAACTATACATTCCCATTCTGTGCCCTTTTGTGCTGAGAATTTAGCTCCTGATGACTGTGTGAAAGAGCTAGGACGTTCCCCAGGGATAACACATTGGTCTGGGTCTGAAGACACTGGCCTCTAGTTCCCTGTGCCGCTGACTGCCTCAGTGACCTATACATCCAGTGAAATGTGTCCAGGGCTGCTTCATGGAGGCGGGAGCTGGGTGCTGAGATGGGGGCAACCTCACCTTCATACTCCAGAGACATGAGGTTGAATCCTGGCTATGTGATCCTGTGCAAATTATATAATTGCTTATGAGTCTTAGTTTTCTTGGCTGTAAAATAAGAATGGCTATCTCAATTAGCTGCTGTAAGGATTAAAATAGATAATGTACATGAAGAGATATTTGTGAACTGGAAACTATACAAGTATTGTTATTGTGCCACTCACAAAAATGGGAGAAATTATCATAGTGACTAACATTTCATGGCACTTTATAGTTTGTAAAATATTTTTGATTGACTAACACATGAAAATGCCATCCAAATAATTGAGATTGTGGCTGGATATGAAACGAAAGGAAGAAGACTTTGATGAAAAGTGTTAGCATTCTTTTCCCGATGACTCATTCATTCAGCAAATACTCATTGAGCATCTGCCAAATTGTGTCTTATTAAGTCCATTTACTATTATGACTACCACTAGCAAAGGAACAAATAAGTGAATCAGTTGGAGGACTTACTTGATGTTGAGGACTTCTCAAGACACTTGACGTGCATGACCTATTTAAGCATCATGGTGATTCTGTGAGATCCGTATTGTCATTCACCCTGTTTTACGGGTGAGGGTGCTGCCGTGGAGAGGCTGAGCAGCTTTCTCGAGATCACACAGCTAGTGAGCGGCAAAGCCACAAGTCAAACCCAGATCTGGCACTTTTAACCACTATGCTTGCTTCTTTGCCCTCCTTTTCCATTTCATTTAATCATGTCATAGGTCATTATAAAACTTCCCCAGGTTAATGAAAGGGGAAGAGGAAAGAGAGTAAAACCAAAGCCATTTGGCTTCTTATGAAAAGCTTTGATAACAAAACTTCCAGGAATAGGGAATTGAGATCATCATCAAAGTGAAAATTTGGTTTTATCTGTGGATTTAAACTATATTCCACCCTCCTGAAACTGTGGATATTTAAGAGATTGCTGTATTATTCCAAAGAGCAAAGGTGGGTTTCTTCTTCCTTCTACTGTGCCAGGGAAGCCCAGAGGCATAGCTGGTGGGAGGGAGAGAAAAATGATACTGTGTCTCTAAGTTCCCTCATGAAACCTACAAAAGTGAGATGAAGTTAACTGAGTCGGTTTGGGAGAAAAAGAGAGAAAGGAGGCTGGGAGCGGGGAGGGGCAAAGAGGAGAGGAGAGCAGTGGGGGAGGAGGGAGAGCCACACCTGCTTCCCTGCCCTGCTGATGGTTTGGAGGCGAGGCCAGGCCTCTTTCAGCCGGGCTGGTGGAGAAGTCGGGTCCTCCTTCTCCCCCTGACCTCAGCCCTGAGTCAGAGCCCAGCCTCCAGGAAATGTGTTGGGCTGGGATGGTCCTCCCAATTCCTCACACCCAGGCAGGGCTGGCTGTGCTCACCTCGGTAGGAGAACCACTCCATCCAGTGCTTGAAATCACGCAGGTTACAGTCACACTCCCAGGGGTTGTCTCCCACCTGCAGCAGCTGCAGGCTCGCTAGGGGTTCAAATGTCAGCCGGTCCAGGTTCTGTAGGCGGTTGGAGCAAAGTGATAGGGAGCGCAGAGCCGGGAGTCCGTCGAAGAGGCCGGGGGGCAGCTGGGCCAGGCCGTTGACGGACAGGTCCAGATGGCGGAGCAGGGGGCAGTGCTGCAGCAGGTCCCTGTCCAGGGTCCTGATGCTGTTGTTGCGCAGCTGCAGCTCCGTCAGATTTGCCAGGTCCCCAAAAATGGAGCGGGGCAGCTGGTCCAGGAAGTTGTTGGATAGGTCCAACCGCTGCAGGCTGGACAGATTAGCGAACGCCCAGCTTGGCAGGGCACTCAGCTTATTGTTCAAGAGCAAGAGCGTTCGGGTGGCAGCGGGCAGGTCCGGGGGCACCATGGTGAGGCCTAGGCCACTGCAGTCCACTTCCAGGCTGCGGCTGTCGCACTTACAGGAGAAAGGACAGGCAGGGAGGGCCTCCACAGCATACAGGGTGACCCAGCAGGTGATCCCTGTGGGGGCAGGGGTGGGGGCAGACGGGCAGAAAGAAAGCGACAGGCTGGGGGTTACCGCCTCCTGCTTCTATCCCCTCCTTTCTAGTTCATATCATAATGGCCTCTTGGCTTTATCTCCTTTGGCCCAAGCCACAATCAATGCACAAAGCTTTACTGACCACACAAAAAGATAATTAACCCGAAGCCCTTCTGTATTAATGGACGTGACATGTGGTGTCAGCAGGGCTCCTTGCCTGTCGGCACATCTGGCAAAGAAATCACTTCAGTGGAGTATGATCCTGCAGAGTCCAGAGGCCCTGGAGTCCAGAGGACAAGCATTGCTGCTCCACAAAGATGCCCCAGCTCATGGGGCCTCCCACGGTTGATCTCCTATAGAAGCTTTGGCCCCACTGACACCATAGGTGTTGGCAAAATAGAGGAAATAAGGATATCAGAGAAACCTGCTCCCATGTTCCTCTCCCAGTGTCTGTGCCAGAAGAAAGAGTCTCTTTCCAAAAGAAAATGGCCGTGCTGCTGCTTCCTTCCCCTCTGCACCCACCCCCCGCCCCCACCCCCGGAGCTGCACCAGGCGAAGACATGCCATGCATGGAAGGGGGAGAGCACAGAGGAGCACTCCTACCCCTGCCTCCTACAACCTCCCAAGCACTGTCAGATCTGCATGAACCCCACATCAGATCTGCAAGATGATGCCAGTAACTTAGTGTGAGGACTGGGAGCTCAGGCCCACCTAGGGTCCCCCTCCGGAGACCCCTGTGGAAATGATGAGGATAAGATGCACAATTCCACTTCCATGTTGGAGAATACCTGGGCACGAGCCACTGCAAATCATGGGGCCCAGGACAAGTTCCATATTTGTTCTCATTCTAAAGCCATCCATGCCCTTAGCTGGGCGTCTGTTCCTAAGGGCTTCAGGGTAACATTTCTGCAGGATGGATCCATTAACAGCGTTCCTTTCGTGGTCCCATGTTATGCCCAGGACCCCTCTGAGTAGCAAGCACATGGCCCAGTCTGTGGAGGAGCTGGGGAAAGTGGTCCTCAGAACAATTATGACAGAGCAGCTCACTCCATTGTCCAGCAGCCCTTTCTAAGAGGGAGCTCAAAACCCCCCTTAACTGTCCTCCTGAGTATCAGAGAAGCCTGCTCACTGTGAAAGGGAGAAGGGATGAGCTCAAAATAGTTCAACCCCACCTAGTCCAAAGGAAAGACCCAGCTGGAGGAGTGATGGAGAAGTTCAGACCCAGCTCATGGCCCCGTTGGCCCCACCCAGAGAGGCAGCAGCCACCCTCACCTGGTGCTGGATGGGGCGGTCGAGTCTGTGTCTGATAGGCGTCTGGTTGTCTGGTGTCTAAAGGGCAGAGCTTGAAGGGACAGGATGGGACTGTCCCTCTCCCCTGCCTGGAGGATGGATGACAGCTGAGAGACACACTGCGAGGCTAATGACCTGAGCCTCTTTGTTCTCGAGGGGAAATGAGCACAAGTGTGGCCATGGAGGCCAGTTCCTGGCCACGTGGGGTCACCTGCTGCTGCCTGTCACCCTCTCACTCTCTGAGCCCATCTGCTGCCAGATCAGCCTGCCCCACGCTATCCCGCCACACCATTTGAAAATCAACATTCTTCAGACTTCACTTGCCCCAGAAAAAAATTCAACCCATCCAGCTTCCCTCAAAAGGATCAACATAGCTAGAAGCCACTGTCCCCCCACCCCTGAGAAATTTGGGGTTGCATAAAAGCTCTAGTGACAAGAAAACATAATCCTCTATTGCGAGGTGTTGAGTGACTCTACAGTGAGGTTGAAAGGGGATCTGAGTTGCTCAGGGATCAGCCATTCTCACATGGTGAATAATTCAGGCTGCTTATGTCGTGGGGCAGCTGTTTCACAGGGCTGACTGTACCAGGGAGAAGTCAGGCAGAATCATGTCCCTCGGGACCATTGCATACTTCTTACCATGTAGCCTTGGGCAAACCAGTCCTTACTGACCTCATCCCTTTATCTCATATAAAGAGAATTCTCAGAGCTCCTTTCACCCTGACAGCTTGTAAGGTTTCCTTACGGGAAACAGAGGGCCTCAGCTTCCCCATATGCAGAAGGAGGAGTTGGACCGAATCTCTAAGGTCCCTTCCAGTGCCGCATCCCAAGAGCCTCCTAGTTCCCTCCATTTCGGATTTGGGAAGACTGAGGCATAAGGAGGTCTCAAGTTCACCCAGCCGATGGTCAAGGCAAGACAAGAGGGTCTTGAGCAACAGGACTCACATGAGCTGGAACTGCTGGGGGCGGGGGACAGGAACAGCCCTACCTGGGGAGACACAACCGCCTGTCATGGCCTCCAGCTCCTGATCTAACCACTAAGGCTCTCAGCAACTGCCGCAGGCGCCAGTGCCGTGAGCAGGACTGTAGAGGGTAAACCCTGGTTTCCCAGAACCAGGCCTTGCGCACCCCGGGCAGGTCTGTCTTAGGCCTTCCTGCAGCCCGGGAGGCGTCGCTGCATGCCATGCTCACTCCCAGCCCTGACGCCCCCCTGCCCCCATACTCACAGGAGATCTGCCTCCACTGCAGGGCTAGCCTGGTCCTCTGCTCAGGGCCACTGCCCGGGGCCAGCATGGTGAATGCCACGGCTCTCACTGCCTGCACCTCTGGGGAGAGAGGAGCCCCTTGGTATGTGCTGCCTGTCAGTCCTGAGAGAGAGGGAGAGAAAGCGCTGAGCGAAAGCAGGCATTCGAGGCCCCGTTCCAGCCCAGGGGTTAGGGAGAGGGCCCCGGTGTCTCTTTACACTCCTCATCATTCCCTCTTCCATTCTTTTCAGCTATGATTCCCTGGGTGTGGGGAAGGGAAGGAACGAGGGGGCAGAGAAGCCAGGAAACCTTCAGCCTCCCTCGGTGATTGGGGGTGGCATGGAGGGGCAGGCTCAGGCCTCCCCGGGAGCCCTCCGGCCTGGGGCACAGTGCTGGGCTCTGGGCTGTGGGATGCAGGAATTGCTGCCGGTGGCCTCTCCAGTGTCCCCACCCCCAGCCTCCCCCTGCTGCTTCTTGTTGCCTCTCTAGTGTGTTGATCTCTAAAATGTTTCTGGAGCAGTATGGCTTCTCTGTGTCTGGGATTTCCCCATGTCACAGGAGGGGAAATTGAGGACGTGTCTCCTAAGTCAGCAGCGAGGCCGTGGCAACACTGTTCCCCAGTCCCACTGCTGCTCTTACCATGGTCTCCGAGGAGCCAGAGACCAGGCCCTTCCCAGAGTCTGCTGGCAGGTCGGGTGAGAGGCCCAGGCCCTGCTCTCGCCACTGGGTGGCCCCCTGCTTCCCCTCCACCTGCTCCTGAGAGGTGAGTCGCGAGGTTCCGACTTCTGCCCGCGGTCTGTAATAAGACTCATCAGCTCAGGGGCTTCATGCTGCAGCAGCTGCTCATGCAGGAGACAGGGACATGGAGGAGACGGTGAGACTGCGGAGTGGAAGGAGGGCTGGGAGCAGGCCAGGGGTGCAGAGAGCAGAATTCTTCTCTAGAAGGAACAAAGAGGGGGACTCATCCTTTCTAGTGTCTTGAGGACCTGCCTTGCCCCAACCCAACGACTCATAAGTGGACACAGGCCCCCATCTGGTCCCATTTCCTTCCAGACATGGCCAAGGGCCCTTAGACAGAGGCCAGACAGAGCCCCTCCTGTCTCAGCTCCACCGGAGGGGTAGGAAAGGGGACTGTCGTGGCTTCCACTGCAGCTGGCACAGGACAAGGCAGGGAATGGGATTGGAGGAGAAAGCTGCTGAGGGCCCAGCCCCCTCTGGCTCCCAGGGGGCACAGTAGCCTGTCAGCCCTGCTCCTGGCTGGCTCCCGGAGTCTGACCTTCCGTGGTTGCCACATTCATCCTGGGGTGGCTCCTGGTTGCTGCCTCCCCTTCCCCTGCCCCCAGGCCTGTGTAATTCTGGGAGCCTGAGGAGCTGGTGGCAGAGTTGAGCAGACAGATGAGGAGGTGGAAGGAGCTGCTGGAAAGCTAGCGTGTTCAGCTCTGAAACCTCAGCATCTGTGAAGCAGGGCTCCCTCAGGCATTTGGGGTCCTGCTGCTGCTCCTGGTATCTCTCATCGCCTCTCTCTCCCCCCACCCTTCGTTACAGCGGGGCGGCAGAGCCCAATTAGAACACAGCAGCCCCCAGGGACCTTCAGCTGTGCTCCCACAAGGGCAGCCTGTTCAGGAGGGAGGGTGCTGTCTGTTGCTCTTGGCTTTCTCTTTCCTCGCCCCTCCTCATCGGGATGGTTCCAGGTTGTGAAGGCCTCGCAGAGCCCGGCAGAGCGAGTCACAACAGGGCACAGACTTGGGGTATGGGGAGCAGCCCGGTCCGCACACTGCCTTTTGGCTGGAGCCCAAGGAACTGGGCCCAGGCATGGGGGAGACACTCAGAGCAGTCAGGGGTCATGCTCCAGCTTCCCTCCCAAGGCCAGGCACCCGCAGGCTCCTGGTTCAGACGCCCAGTCTGTCGGGGAGGCTCTGGGTTCAAATCTCTATCTTGCCACCCCCTAGCTGTGCAACCTTAAACCACGTAAACTCTCTGGGCCTCAGTTTTCTTATCTCTAAATGTGAGGACCATAGTACTTAGAGGGTGGAATTTCTGTGAGGATCAATCTAATAAAGGGAAGAGAGTTAACGTTTGCTACATTTAGTACACACCACCTTAGAAGATAATGCACGTGACTGCGCCTAGCCTGGACTGGAGCCATGACAGCGGGAGGAGGCCTCAGTTCCCTTCCTCCGCGGGAGGGCCAGCAGCTCACAGTCGGTCTATGTAACATCTCTCTCCTGGCCCCACCGACCTCGCACGTGGGTCTCTTTGTTCCTGAGCACACGCTGCACTCCTGAGCCCGAGCCAGGCCTGTGGACCGTCACATGATGTCATTGTGGGGCACACGCACACACCCAGCCTTCACACACCATCCTCCACGGAGGACGGTGTCCACCTTCCCTGTGTCCCTCAGGCCCTGACCCTCAGAACAGTCTCTCACTCCAGCAAGAAGCCCCACATCAGGCTCCTAGCACGCGCACAATATCAGGCACGTCAGCAGCTACTCAAGGCGCGGAGGCCAGCGTGCCCACGGTCGGCCGTAGGTCAGGGACAGGGTTGCAGGCTTCCGAGCTGGGCTGCTCATCCACTCCCTGGTGACTGTCACCCAGTAATGGCACCCGTGGGGAGATGCTCACATGTGCACAGAGTGAGGTGCACACACAGCTCCCAGACTCGTGCTTGGAGCTCCCAATGCAGTGCGTGCTGCAAACACACACCAACAGAGAGCCTTGCAGTCGGGCATGTGCTGACACATGCACGCAGACATGTATGCGCACACACATGCCCTGCTGGCAGCCTCCAGCACGCCTCCTCAGGTGCCAACACTCGGGCAGCAGAGTGAGATGCCTGGCAGTTCCCAGTGCCCCAGCAGACAGATGCACAAGGACACTTCAGCCTTGAAGGAAGTCTGCAGAAACCCCTACAGAGCAGGCCCTAACCCGGGACGTTTTCTACACTCAGAGTCGTATGGGGCCTGGCAGGCCAATCCAGGTTTCTGCACCCCTTCTTTCCAGCTTCCTATAGGGAGGCAGGTGGTGAAGAATCCCTCTCCCCCAAGCCCACGCCCCATTTCCACCTGATCCTCCTCCCCTCTTTCAAGCAGGCTCCCCTTTTCCACCCCACCCACCTTCCCCAGCCCCAGTGGCACCCCTAAGTAGTGAGCCCAGAGGTTGACCAGTAAGCACCAGTCAGTGGGGAAAGTGGCCTTGAGTGCAGGTCCTGATGCCCCCTCCCAGCCTTGAATGTCACCTGTACAAAATAGATCAGGCAGGTCACCAAGATGCAAACCCAAAGGCATCATCTTGCCTTGGTGGCAGGACATTGTTGGCCCTGGTATCTCTGGAGAAATATGATGAAAACAAGGCCCCACATGTCCATGGGGATATAGCCTGTGCTCCCCGGAGAGCTGACCCTGCCTCCCTGGGCACCACGGAAGTGACCCTTACAGGGATATGGGGCTTGAGCCCAGCACTTCCTAGCTCCCTGGCCCTTTGCCCACCAGCCCACCACCAACCAAAGGCCCCCTTCGTGCTGCCAGGAGCATCCAGCCTCATTAGGAAAGGGGGTGACCTACATTAGGAAGCTCCGAGAGCAGCTGCAGTGGCAGACGCTGGCTGGCTGCTGGAATAAATTAACACCATCTGGGAGGAAGTCCCCACCCAGGTGGAGAATGGGGGACAAAAAAGAGTTGGGGGGCTCCTGCCAGAAAGATCTCCTGTCTCCAAGTCCCACAGCCTCGTGGCTCTGGATGCTGGACCTGCTCCCAGTCTTCATGGAAATTTTTGTCCCAGTCCCAGGGACAGAGACACAGAGAGAAGGGGCAGGCCCCAGCGGGGTCCCTGGGCCTCCTTGGCTGACTGCTGAGAGAATCAGGATTGGAGGATGGGGCTGAGGAGCTAAAAGCAGTCAGGTGAGAAGCCTGCCAAGAACCACAAACATGGGGCTTTGTGCTCTAGCTCTTTGCTACTCAAAGGCTGGTCCACGCACCAGCAGCACGGGCCTTGCCTGGGAACTTCTTAGAAATGCAGAATCTCTGGGCCCCACCCCAGGCCAACTGAATCGGAATCTGCACCTTAACAAGATCCCCAGGCAATTCATATCACCATATTCCAATCCGAGAAGCACTGGGCAAGATCACTTCTCTCCCACAGGCTCTGGAGCTCCAGGAGGCTTTGCTGGTCAGTCTCTGGAGACCAGGCGCCACCAGGTAATGGCAGGGACCTGGGCTGAGGGGGAGGATACTGACAGCAGCACCTCCTTCAGGAGGCTCTGTATGGGGAGAACAATTACCACAGTCACAAACACCAGTGCCGTGTTCCTAGCCTTCATAACATCTCTCTGAGGTTAGTATTGTTATTAACACCACTTTGCAGATGGGGGAAATTGAGGCACAGGAAATTAAGTAATTTGCCTCAGGTTAGGCCATGGAAGAATACAGCTTTGGACCCGAATGGTCTGGTGACAAATCTACTAACTCAACTTCCTTTATAGGCTTCTAGGTCCATTCTCAAAAAGGGAGAGGCAACCTTTCTTTTGTATGGTACTCCACAGTTTATGCAGCATTTCCTCATTCACCGTCTCACTGGATCTGAGAAGACAGGTGTCCTTATCCCCCTCCTGCTGACAAAGAAACAAGCCAGGTCTCCTCCTCCCAAGCACCCCTCTTTCCAGTATATCACAGATGCAGTGGAGGAAAGTCCCAGGAGGCCAAGGTCTTATCAGGGGAGTTGAGGGGGCTTTCTAGAAACCCTTCTGCTGGGCAGCTGGGTGCTAAGGTGAGGAGGGTGGGATGGGAGCTCCGGGGAAGCCGGGGGTGGGGAGGTAGTGATGGAACAGGAGGCAGCAGTAGGAGCAGAAGGTTCCATGTGCTCCTGCCGAGCTGAGTGGGAGCAGCGTCCCCAGAGTCTCGGGGCATGGGAGCTGCTTCCCTGGGGGACCGCCTCACCACGGCTCCCACGGGCGAGGAGCAGCCTGCCGGTGCTCTCCTTCCCTGCAGAGCACTCAGGCTAGGATTGTGCGGAGCCCCGATCCTGTGCTTCTGCCCTGCCATTCCTCCTACAAACGCAGGTTCCCCTCCAAGCTGGGTTGGCTCTGTCTCCAGCTGGAAACCTCCAACAGACCCCCACAGG